GGCCCCGCCTGCTTTGGTAGTAGTAGGTAGGCTAAGGCTTCGCCCAGTCACTGAAGAGGTAGCTCATGCTCGGTCCGTCGGCTGTACGATCCCGAAGGAGAGAGGTCCGTTCTGCCCTCGCCGAGGCAGGAGGGCCGACTGCGTTTCCCCTCTTTGTTTTTACAAATCGAGATTTAACGTGACTTTAGAATTGTCAACAGTTTCAGTCTGTATCACACATTGATTCTCCCCCCTCACCTTTACTCCTCCCAATGACTCCAGAACCAAAATCAGCCCCACAGGATTAAGTTCTTTCAACAAAAGGTCAGTGGCAGCCAAGTTTTGCCAAAAAGCTAGGGGAGAAAAAGACATTTCAATTTTATCAGTTACTAACTTGCAAAACACGTCTCCTAAAAGAAAAATAAATTAAGGAAAGACTCATCCCTGATCGACACAGGAGGCTGCGCGGCTGCACCATATGCTGCAGGAACACATGCTACGCAAGCTACCACCACTCCGAAAAGTGGTGAGCCTAAACCTCTGGTAAACCTAAGAGTTCTAAGATTTTTTTCTTCTATATAAAATAAATAAATTAAATGCAAACATAAAAAAAAAAAGTCCTAATATATTCAAGGAGTTATTAAAATATTTTTGTAATAGACTTCAGTTATTTTTAGGATATGCAGGAAGTTGTACAGCACATTGTTGTGAGACTATCCACTTACCAGCAAATAGTATTCTACACATTAACACACAGATTATGATAACTGCCATAGTCCTCATCTGAATATGCAGCATCAGTAGCAACAACCAATGGATCTAGTCTTTCACTAATCGGAACATTGCAATGAAGACAACATTTTACATACATGGACAATTAAGTTCATCTTATTCTGTAACCGAGCTGCCTCCGTATACTCCATTTATAATAATTCTCACTCCATTTTAATCTGTGATTCAGAGAAGAAGCATTAGCCAGATTTTTCTAATACCGCTTCTATGCTCTTCACTTGTCTGTTCCATATAGGGGCAAATCTTAGATGAACTTGCCACCAGTGCTCTCTGCACAGTGCCATCAGCGTAGTGCCCTCTTAGATCTCCAGTGCTTCTGGAGTCACGCAGCCATCTCATGCATCAATCTTTTGGTCTGCACCCCTTTGCCAGGCCAAAAGCACAGACATCAGTAAGAAGTCACTTTTCATCCAAGAGATGCGTCCATTTTCACTGAAGAAGCAGTCTTCTGCATTTCTGCTTTCTCCTACTAATTTCTGCCATGGTCTCACCAAACGACCACAAGCAGCCTTTTAACTGAACGGCCAGCAGTCTCAGCCTTCTCAGACGTTGACATCACCACAGCCATCACCATTGAAAACCTATATGTCTTTTGTTTCTTAAGAAACCCCTTGTCTCTTCATATCAGCTTCAGGTCACCCATAGCTACTTCAACAAGGTGTATTCTCCTTGCAGTAACATTACAGCTTCGTAATTCCACAAAGAAAACTTCCCAGATACACAAAGCTTTCAATACTTTTCATTTTGCTGCCACTTTTCTAGCATTTATACAGTTTTATTGCTTTCTCTGGCAGAAGACCATTTTCTTTATCGCGTCCATATTCATATCTGGTTAGATTGTTCACTAGTCCCTTACAGCACGTTGACCTGGCTCTGCAAGCTCTTATTTCCCATGTCTATCTTCATTTTGACGTTAGCGCTATAACTTATTTCCACATAGTGAATAATATCAAAATGTTTGAACAATACAGAAGATTCTGCCTGAAGACAGAATGCAAGTGTCAGATGCAACTGTCATGGTCACTTTTAGCTCAAAACGATTCTGAACGCGGGTGGCTTTAAGAGGAAAAACAGTTCTTCTTCCCATGCAAACCTATTTCCTGCCCCAGGAACCTGAACAATAATTTTAAAAAGTTCTGAGTATTTAGATTTTAGGCCTAAATATATTTGCTACAACTTGAAAGATGTAATGCCCTGACTCCATTTCCATTGCTTACTTCATAGCTGTCCATGTAACAGTTCATGTAACAGTTAAGTACAGTAGTTTAAGAACTCAATTGCAAAAACCGATTCACAGAATCACCTTGCTTTTCTACTTGAAAGTATGTGGATTCCTGAAAACGTTCTGCAACATTAACACTTTTTATCGTCCATCAGTGTAACGTCTGCATAAGGAAATCCTGGCTTCTACACGCACATTATCTGAAGATCAAGACCAACTTTTGATAATTACATACAAAATGTTTTTTTGCTCTAACACACCTTTGGTCATACCTGTTCAGCGTTTTTAACCATACAATAGCAGCCTTTCACCCCCCACCCCCTCATTCAGACACGCAAACAGTACTACTTTTAGGTAGGAAGCATAATCTCAGCCTCACGGCAAACCTTGTGGAAAAGAGCTGCATTGGAAGAAATACTCATTCCAAAACCAAACAGCAGTTCTCTACTGACGATCAGCCATTTGATTATTAGTCTATGCTACACTTCAAGCTAATAAGAGTGCTGTTCTACTGGGAATGGTGTTCCTCAGATAAATTTGCTTCTTTCAGCCTGATTGGGATGCGGATAATTCCACGGCACATTTGAGAAGCAATACGGTATAATCTCAGAATCTCAATTAACATCCCATTCCCGCTACATTTGATGTTTAAGGCGGTATACAAGAGGTATTGCTGAGTACAGTCAATAGCTGATATATTAACCTATGGGAATTGTGCTACCTATACCTCATCCTAGGCTCTGTAAAACACTATGGTCATGAACTATGCAGGTCACTTAAAAAAAAAATATTTAAATGTCCAAGAAATTGAAGTGTTGCTAATGTTCTTACGGCAGGTATTTTTGTTTCTTTTTTCACGTTAACTGACATGGGGCCCTTATTAGATATCAAGGAAAGATATAAAAGAACTAAGGGGGGGAAAAAGAAAAAAAAAAAGCATGGAGTTGTTATTCATTGCAGCTTTTAAAACAGATTCTTTTCACAGTGTCAAAAAGCAGTATTTCTCCACTCCAGCTTTGCTCTAAACCAAACAACTGTTGTGGCTTACGTGATGCAAAACTTACAGCAGAGATAGGATAATTTTTAGTTTTGAAGTGTTTCATATGTCTCAGTACATGCACTGGTAAGTGCCCTTTAAAAATCCGAGGTATGACAGCGTAAGAAATAGGTCATACTTGCACTCCAGGCACCGGCCTCTCACATTCCAGAGCTGCAATTTATTCCCATTTTGAACAGTTCTATGCAATGATCAGCTAACCCTGCCAAATCATTTAGGGTTTTATCTTTTTATAATGCATGTCGAGGTTAAAAACCCTGAGAGCTTTTAAGATAGCATTGATTGGCAGCAGAAGTTTCTTCAAATAATAGTTTAGAAAGGGCAAAAGAGCGACACAAAAATACTTCATTTCAACTGTGGGGGTCTAGAAATAAGACCAGAGAAAGGTAATTTTAAGAGGTAAGTTTAAATTTAACTATATGGAGTGCTTTCAGTTATCCAGTGCTTAAAAAAAAAAAAAAAAAAAATTGGGTTATCTCACAGACTTGTCCTCTTTGCTCTTTCCTCCATCTGCCCAGACACAGAGAGGCCTCTAACTGTACAGCAGATGGTTTACTTGCAGCGCACAGCAACAGTCTTTCAAAAGGTGTTAGTCTTGAGTCTCCTAATCAGAGAGAAATGAAACAATTAACCCCATAATCCACAGTAGAGACACAGACAGAAACCTGAAGGAAGATTGCTATTCACAGAAAATATCAAGTAAGACTAAGAACGATGGCTGGAGACCTGCCAGGTTTTGCATTCCAACCCGCCATCCATCCATCCATCCATAGCCTTTCAGGGCATACCACCACTTTAGGTAAGAGCCCAAAGCAACTGCTTGCTCCTCTCAGTCGTGATCCCTACAAAGGGCTGCTTTTAATTGCTTAATTGACGCAGGTACTATCATTTCTTAAACTGAGCACAGCCTGAGGCAGTTTCCCTGCATCCAGTACCTGGCTTGCATCAGCTTGCTGACAGACCTTACTGTCTGTAGCAGCGCTACATGTGAATGAATCGAAGTCCACTGTTATGTCTTGAACGTTTCTTTCATTGGCATTGTCAAAGCTATTTTTACCGTGTAGCTGTTTCAGATGTTTCCTCAGAACGGGTTTATGCGCAAAAACCATGTCACAGTAGTTACACTTATGGGGTTTGTCCCCACTGTGCAGGTTGAGATGGTCCTGTAAGGAACATTTCTGAGAGAATGTTTTCCCACAGATCTTACATTGGAACGGTTTGATGCCTGCGTGCACTCTCATGTGCCGGTGGAGATTGCCTTTCTGAGTGAATGTCTTGCCACAGAGCAGACACATAAAGAGTTTATGCATCTTTAAGTGATTAGCATAGTTTTCCAGATGCCGAAACACTCTTGTGCACTTTGGACACTGATGGTGCCACTGGAGGCCTTTGTCTATACCTCGGTTGTTAGGCCCAAACATATCTTTAGAGGCCAGAATGATGTTATCGCTGCCAGCATACGAAAGGGCATAGTTGTGGAGGTGGTTTTGCTCTATTTCACTTGCTCTGTTTTCAACAGTGGAGTTGATAAGAAAGTGTTGAGGCTCTGAGGAATGCAGTGCAGTTTGTTCAGAAGAAATAAACTGGTTCTGATCCTTCTTATTCCTAACTTCTGTCACCTCCCCAATGGATTCCACCTTGATGATCTGAATATCGCTATCCTCCATGTCCATACTGTCTTCTGAAGGCTGAATACAAGGTGAATCTTGCTGCAGGGAGTCATCATCTCCTTGATGTTCCTTCAGCTCAGAGGAGTCACTTTGCTGTTCACACTCCTTGCTCTCCAATGGCTGCTTCGGTTTTATAAACTTCCAGAGGGCCTGCGTACAGCGTTCAACAATGTGGCTCATCTGCAGAAAGCTCGCCGCAGTCAAGTAGTTTACCAGTTCCATTTCAGGGAACTCCAGAATGCCACTGTAACAGGATAGAAGCAGTTGCCTCCCCACTTCCGAACTCTGCAGTATAGAGATTTTTACTTCTCTGGAGTCATTGAGTAAGAACTGATCTCTTAGAAAGGGAGAGCCCGCAGCAAAGACAATTTTATGCCCATGAACTTCAATGTCATCTATATGGACCACGACATCACAAAATTTGTTTTCTTCCCTCAGTTTGTTCATTTTCTGTAACATCGAATCCCCGTAATTGTCAAACTTGAAGTGAAGAATATCTGATCTTTCTGACATTTTGGCACACCTAAGGAAAATCAGCAAGAAAAAAAAAAACAAGTGAGAACTTTTTTGTTTTCTAAAAGGCAAGTTAGAAGGGTCTAAAGTAATAATATAAAGTGTGCATTTAACCAGATGTTATGTTTTATCCTAAATACTAAAGTCCGTTATAAGTTAAAAGTAAAAACAAATCATGTCTGTACCTCACCTTACAATATCTTTTACTTTTCTTTAATTTATGACCTCTAAAAGTCCCTTCCAACCCAAACTATTCTATGATTCTATGAATATAAAGTAGAAGTGATATGACAGAAATTCTCCTGAAGCAGCATCCTAAAGAGCTGTTTTCCACACTACCTGCCTGGAATTTAAAGGGAAACCACGGAATTATTTTCAGCAGCCTTAGCTCTTGTTAAGCTTTGCTTCCACAGTAAAACTCCTTAGGGATTTTGTCTTTACCAAATAACAATGACGTTCCTTTAGCTTTTGGTTCTTGATTTCCTTTAATGCCTAAATAGCTTTCATAACAACTTAATTCGAGGCGAGACAGAACCTGGCACTTGCCAGACATACAAACATCCCTCTTAACATTCTGCATGAACCATACACTGCTCAGAAGAGCGACAGTCCACAAACAACGGCCACAGTTCCTCTGGGACACTCCACAATTTGCAGGAATATTCGTACAGGACACGTCTCCTTGGCAGTAACTGGAATGTCAACATGCCAGTCTTTTAGCAGGAAGGACTACCCAAAGTTTGTGATATCCGCAGCACTGGGTTTAACGCATCGTTTTAGATCACCTTTTAAGTTTTTTTGCAGGGGTTGGTTTGCTTTGTGCAGGTTTGTTGCTTTTCTTTTTTAAAAAAATCACATCAAAAAAATCTTCCATATGGGCCCTCATTACAGAAGTCATGCCTTCCAGGCTGCCTGTTCTGAATACCTGGGGAACGTAAGAAGTCTTGTTTCTTGTTGTCTTCTTTGGAAAATCGCTTCTCTAGGAAGTTTGTTCTTGTTTGATAGTATTTGGAATGAAGAACAGTGGATCTTCCATAAAACTAGTGTCAATCTATCGTCTTTCAACAGTTCTTTTAAGAACTTATAAGACTACACTGATTCTCGATGAAACACTGTTCACACAATCCTGCCAGAGACCTGGGATTGCAGGAAGTGAAGAAATCACAGGAGACTACATGATGCAAGATTTGGTGAGATAAAATAACAAAACAAAGCAAAACTTACACCTCACAACTATTACAAACACCACATAAAGCTTGGAAGGAAGCTTTGAAGTTTATAGATAAAATCAGCTACTGCTCTCTTGGGGCACGAAGTATCAGCTCCGCGCACACAACGGGAAGTGGAGTCCTGCCTCGTGTCACTGAATGCACAAGCCCAGGGTTCAAAGAGGAACAGTTTTAGAAGTATCTTGATACGCAGGGTTGTTTCAATTTGCCGATCAGACATCGTTCAGAGACTCGACCTCCTCACTACTTGAGCGCATCGAGTGTATCTTCCAGTGTACAGCATGAGAAAATTAGAACAGGATTTCAAAGGCCTTCAGAAACACGGGACCACGAAGTTTGGAAACGGGGTAGCATCGTTCTGCAGTATGACCAGTTTTGCTGAATCTACAGACAGTAGAGCCGCCAGTCTCTTAGTCATCCTGTCTTCAGCGCTGCCCCACTTATGCCCATTTCTGGGGCAAAAAGTTTAATTTTATGAAGCAACAGCCTTTGGCAAATATAAATGGTAGCAACAGATCATCATGGAGTATCTTCAGTGAATTTCAGGCATTATCGAACTGTTTCTTTTTGTGTTTTCACTTGGAAGCGATGAAGGAAGTCTGCCTGTGAGCATTTTTTTCCCTCTTTGGGATACTACAACATAGATGCAGTTACAGTGCCTGTGCCACACGATATTGTGCTGTTAACCAGACACAACTAGTCCAGCTGCTCCGCGTTCCTCGGGCAGATTACAAGAGTCATGGAACGGTTCGGGCTGGAAGGGACCCTACAGATGACACTGTTCCATGGGCAGGGACCCCTTCTGCCGGCCCAGGGTGCTCAGAGCCCCGTCCAGCCTGGCCTTGAGCCCTGCCAGGGCTGAG